TACTCCACACTCACTGGGGATATCAGAGAGATGGCTTTGGATGACTTTTTGGTGGTAAAAGGACCTGAAGTGGGGTGCCCAGTGTGTAGGGTGTGCTGTGTGGGCAGGGCTTGAGGTGACTCTCTGCACAGTGGTGCTCCCTCGGGGTGATGGCCTGAGTCCTGCTCCCTGGAGGTCCTCCTGGGGACCTTAAGCATGCTTTGAGCCATCCCCCTGAGGGAGCACTGATGGGTTGCTCATAGTGTGAATCCTGGCAGCAGGATTATTCAGTGGATTTCTCTTCCTGATTTTTACCACTCTGATGATAACCATTCTCCTCTAGATCTTCCTCCCTCATTTTTTGGGCTGAACAAGCTTGGGGCTCTTAACATCTCCTGTTGACCTACAGGTTCTCCACCCTGCTGGTCATCTGAACAGCAACTGAAACATAAGCCCATCTAACTGAGGGAGGAAATGTCTCTTTTCATTCTGAACCAGGGAGATGCAATCCATGCAGGAGTAAGCTGAAGGGTGGCGTTTCAAAGCTGCGAGGAAGAAGTTTTAGGCAGCTTGTATCGTGAACTAGCGTGATGTTTTGGATGGGAAGGGAAAAAGTCCTTTAAAACCATGTAGGAACATCACTAGAGACACTACTTAAACTGTTAGTTAATGGTAAAACAAAATATTTCCTACCCATGAAAGTACAAATCATGTATTGAATCAGATTCCAAAGACGATGTAGTATGATAAGAAATGCCAAAAGTGATATGCAGAATGCTAACTCCTGTGAGAAAATAAGAAGAGTGCTTCACCAGTGTTGTCAGGACATGAACTAGTCATTACCACTACATTCAGTGGAAAAGCTCTGTTCCCACAGCACTTTTCCATTGTATTATGCAGTTGGTAGAAGGGAGTGAAAACAGTGGTGTAAGGAACATCAGCCAGGGTTTTAAAAAAATGAACAAATATGGCATCTCAGAGTGGGCTGTGTGAAGATCACATGCAGGGGGAAAAGAAAAAACCAAACCACAAAGCTGAAGTTCACATACTTAAAAATGATCACTGTCACATGACAGAGACCATTTTGCTCATGACATTTCATCTCAGATCTGCAAATCTGACCATGGCATCACCCCTCCTAGCTTGGCCACTCTGCTTTTGCTGTTCTTCAGCGCACTCTGCCCCCTTCTGCTTCCTGAGCTTTCCTATCCCTTCCCCTGTCTCCAGCCAGGGGCAACCCCATCCTCAGCTGTGTCCCCTGCTCCTTCCTGCCACCGTCCCCAGAACCACATGCTACTCTTCTCAAAACCCTCCTCCTTCCAAAACATCAGTGTCACTTGTGAGCTGGGAAAATATCAAAGCCACCCAGATCACACGCTGGGAACTGGCATCTTCTCCACATGCCTGTTTTTATTCCCAGTACCCAATGATGAAGAGAGCTAGGTACCAGATTGCTGCTCTGGTGTGACTAAAAATCACTGTCGCTATTTTGGCCACATCAAACCTTGATTTTGCTCCTGGTAAATTAGGACCTAGGGAAACAGACCACAGTCAGGGAAGCTCCTAAGGAATATATCCAGTAAGGATTTCACCTGCCTATGGTGAGATTTGGCTGCCCACTCTTTAGTGGAACTGATATGAAGAAACAGAAGCACTTAATTTCACTGTGAATTTACCTGCTTTTGCCAGCTCATTTGGAATATACTTAAGAAGACAGGGTCATGGAGTATTTTAAAATTACCAAATCTGCTTTATTTTATTCCACTCAAATATTCTCAAATGAAACTGACTTGAAATATAACTACTGAAATCTGGGCATCAAATGTTGGTTTTGTTAAGACTGAAGTTAATGAGAAACCTTCCACCTCCAAATTCCAGAGTTACTGACTAAAGCTTCCAGCTGCAAGGTAAGTGTCTCTTTTACTATATTGCATGAACTCCTTCTCCTTGTAACTTTCTGCCCTCCCTGTGATGTTTTGTCATGGTGGGGCTGCTTACATACACCAAATGGTTGACTCCAACTTTAAAAGAAACATCATGAAATACTATCTACTTGTGCTTTTTCAGACACACACACATAATCTAATCTTGTTGTACATACAGAGGTGATTAATTGCTTTGTTAAAACATACAGCTTAAGCCTGTAAACCAGGATGGCTTAATTTAGAGTGCTGCTCATGGGCGGGTAGCCAGGTACTAGAGCAGGAGCTGGTGCAGTGTGCAAGTCTTTCACACACAGCTCCCTCAGCACTGTTCTTTGCATCTTTGACTGATGTGGAATTTCATAGAATCGTAGACTGGTTTGGGTTGGAAGGCACCTTTAAAGGTCATCTAGTCCAACCCTGCTGCAGGGAGCAGGGACATCTGCAACTAGAGCAAGTTGCTGAGCCCCATCCAACCTCGCCTGGGATGTTTCCAGGGATGGGGCATAGCCTACCCTTCTGGGCAGCCTGAGTCACAGTCTCACCACCATCAGCATCAAAAATGTCTTCCTTCTCTCTAGCCTAAATCTCCATCTTTTAGTTGAAAACCATCACCCCTTGTCCTGCTGCAAGAGATCTTGCTAAGAAATCTGTCCCCAGGTTTCTGACAGGCTCCTTCAAGTCCTGCAAGGCCATAAGAAGGTCACCCTGAAGCCTTCTCTTCTCCAGGCTGAACACCCCCAACTCTCTCAGCCTGGCCTCACAGAAGAGGTGCTCTATCCCTCTGATCACTTTTGTGGCCTTATTTTGTACATATATGCAGAAGGAGGAATACTCAAATTCAGGTTATACCGACTCTAACATTGTAATTTTAAGGAAAACATCTTCCTGTACCAAATGCATAAGTCTCTGTTATCCCATCATGCTGCTGGTAGCCTAACACAGAACCGGAAGAGATGATCTCCATGCTCTCCTTTAATCAAGTCCCAAGAACCCTTGGTGGAAACTCTGCCACAGCTCTGGCCCCAGGAAACGACACTGCTTGCTGCGAGGCAGTCAAACACACAAGGCAGCTCCAGAGATGGGGCTAGCTCCCCGTTCCCCTGGGAAAGCCACGCGCCCCAGCTGCAGCCACAGCTCTGGGAGGCAAAGCCAAGCCACGGCTGCTCTACCAGCATTGGTGGGACCTCAGGGGAGGTACCCAGGCTTCCAGAAGGCAACGAGAATGATCTCATGCATGGGATTTGTCCACTGCTACTGCATGCAAATAGCCGATGCGCAGAGACCCCGCCAGCCGCCCCAGCAGCTACGGAGCGTGTGCGGGAGCGACTCCTGCAAGAGCTTGTGTGTGTGAGGTGTGCTGCTGGTCAAGCACGGGCAGCCACCTGCACGCTGCCTGGGAGCTGAACAGCCAGATGGCCACACACTGCTCGGGAGCTGAACAGCCAGCTTGCCACTCACTGCAACCGCCTGCACCACTGGCAGCAGGGCCGAAAGGAGCGCGGGTGCCGCTCCCGTGTTGCTGGGGTTATTCTTGCTCTTTACATGCAGAGGAAAATGGGGATGCATTTCCCTTCACAGCCGCTGCTCCCGCCTCGCTGCGCGTCACAGCCCTCCAGGGTGACTCCGCTGGCACTGACCTGGGACTTTGCTGCAGGGGCATTACTTTCCTTACCGCTCCCTGGCGCGCTCTCCTCGATGGCTCCTGCTGCTGGGGCTTCTGCCTTCTTTGCACTTGTTTCCAGAGAAACAGGAGGCCCTACTTCCCCCAGCCCACTCACCGGGGTCGAGCTTGGGCTGCTTGATTTCTGCGACTGAGCCTTATACCAGCTAGGGTAAAACAAGGGATCGGCGGTTTCTGCTGTGGCCGGCACTTGAGTGTCAGACTCTGGGGTCTGTTGAGAACCAGCTGGTGTCACAACCTCATCCTTAATCAGGACAGATAAAGAGAAGAACAAGCAGAGTGCACCACGTTACCTTCCTGCCGTAGCCACGTTGCTCTGCGTGCTATGTTTGTTCTACCTCACTGTGAGGAATAGATTTGTCCTAATCTATTCTGAAAGAATAGGTCTGAAAGAATTTCAATCAAAACATGAAGAAAAAGCAACTATGATTTGAATAATGCAGATATAGGAAAGACGGCGTTACCCATTAAATAGGATAAGAGGGTAGAATTAGCCAGGGAGGGGGTACTGACTGATAACGGAGTGAGCAAGCAGCAAGATCAAGGGAAGAATGAATCTTTCCCCTTGTTTTACTGGGGGGAGCTTGCTACAACCAGAGATTCTGTAAGTGCTCCCTTGTTTTCACACTGGTCGCCTCAAGTATCTTCACAGCAGCTTCTACCTGCTCAGCAGCCTCCCTGGGTAAATTACGTAAGAGGAGAATTTGGGAAGTTAATTGTATGTAAGGCTAGCTAAAGTAGCACACAGAGTACTTTTTTTTTTTTTTTTTAATGTAGGTCTTTTAGAATAGGCAGCAATTATGGTCTTATTCTAATTGCATTTCTTAAGAAAAAAGTGTTGGCCTGAATTATTCACACCCTGGAGCTGTTTGCTGCTAGGCTATTCTCCTGTTGCTTGTGTGTGTGATATCCCTGCATCCACCCAGAAGATATCCTTAGGATGACCAGAGCAGAAAGTGGCAAACACCATTCCCAAAAACCAGATTAGAGGTATGATGTAAAAATTAGTGGTGAAAAGCTCACTAAATCCAGAGGTAATGCCAAATTCTTAGTATAAATATTTTAACAACCATTTCATTTATAATAGTTGCTTTGCCTGCTGTGATTTAACTTGGACTATCCATTACAACGTGCTTAACTCCCCAACTGAATCTTTTATTTACATGCACCCCATATATCTCTCAATTGACCTAGCAGCATAGTCTGTTGCCTGCCAAGCGACACACACGCAGGCTGAGAGGACAAGGTGCAGTTGTGTGTGTGCAAAGGCAATGGACAGCTGTGCTCTCCAGAGCATCGACTCCCTTAGCCCTGCTCCTGCTGTATGGTGCCTGCAGCCCACAGAGGGGCTTCTCTTGCTGTGCCAGGGCACACTGGGCAGAGCTGGCAGGGCACGCGGCACCAGAGCCACTTACCTGCCCAGCTCGGGTGGCAAGTGGTGGTGCCAGCGCCGGTTCCGCTGGGGGCTCCCCCACTGTGCTCTGCAGTTTGGGGTCCTGCTGAGATGGCTGTGATGCTCTCTCAGCCCCTTCCTCCTTCACCTCTTCCTCCTCCTCCTCTCCTGATGACTCTGTGTGGACTTCATCCAAATCTTCACCATCCACCATCTCCTCTTCCTCTTCTCCCTCCTCCTCTGATAGGACATACATAAAAGGACAGGGCTGAGCACTACATGTAGATCATATAAACACAGAATCACAGAATGGTTTGGGTGGGAAGGAACCTTTCAAGGTCATCTAGTCCAATGCCCTCTGCAACTAGAGCATGTTGCTCAGAGCCTTGTCCAACCTCACCTGGAATATTTCCAAGGATGTGGCACTGGCAACCTCTCTGGGCAACCTGGGCGAGGGTCTCAATATGCTCACTGCAAAAAATGTCTTCCTTCTCTCTAGTTTAAATCTCTCTCTTTTAGTTTAAAACAATCACCCTGTGTCCTGTCACAACAGTCCCTGCTAAAAAAAATCTGTCCCCATCTTTCTGACAGGCCCCTTCAAGTCCTGAAAGGCCACAAGAAGGTCTACCTGGAGCCTCCTCTTCTCCAAACTGACCAAAGCCAGCTCTCTTGGCCTGGCCTCACAGCAGAGATTTCAGCCCTCAAATCATTTTTGTGGCCTCCTCTGGATGGCTATGGTCTTTATGTAATTAAAATTAATTTACAATTGCACAGCAAAGCTACCGATAATCTGCTGCCTGGCAGTGGAGAGAGGCTGGGGAGAGGGTGTTGGTGAGGAGCCTGCTCCCACTAGCCTGGACTGGGCACTGCCGTGGAGCTGCCAGCACGCGCTTTGCAGCAGGGAGGACAGCAAACACACACACTTGTTAAACACTTAAGCTGGCCCTTTCCATGGGAAGGAGGACAGAAAGTCCTGCCTGTGCAGTTAGCCTCATGAGGGGCGTGCAGCACAGCCCTGTACTTTTTTGGGGAAAGGATACCTGGTCTGGCACCATCGGCCAGCAAAAAAGTTGCTCTTGCAAATTTAGGTGTATCTTTGTTTTAAATACCTTGGAGCCACCATAATAAATCTTTACCATCATAATAAATCTTTGTAATATGTGACTGGAGGTTTGGAATACCAAACTCCCTAACACCAGGCTGTCAAACTTGGTCAAACCATCACTCTTGGATCAGCTGACACATCCTGTTGTCAGCACTGATGGCTGGGCTGGTTTCCACAGGGAGCCCTCTAACAGCACACTTTCTTTTGCATAAGGACACTACTCATCCTCACAAATGCTGGATGCTGTTCGGAGCCATCCCAGCTCTGACAAACATGCTCCCACAAGCAGAGTGCTGGATCTCTGCTTCCATATCCCCCAGCTGCAGAGCACCCCACTGACTGAGTTTCAAATGCAGGACTGATCTCCTGACCACACTAATTCCTCATCCCTGAGATGTGGGTGCCACATTCCCCATCACAAGGTTGGGGGTGGGGGGTGGTGTAGCACAAGTTGTGATATTGGCCAAGAAGGCAAATGGTCTCCTGGGATTCATACAGAACAGTGTGGCCAGCAGGTCAAAGGATGAAGGTTCTCATCCCCATTTACTCTGCCCTAGGGAGGCTGCCTCTGGAGTATTGTAGGCAGTTCTGGGCTTCCCAGTTCAAGATAGACAAGGAACTACTGGAGAGAGTCCAGTGGAAGTTCCAAAAATGTTGAGGGGCCTGGAGCATCTCTGTGCTGAGGAAAGGCTGAGAGCCCTGGGGCTGGTTAGCCTGGAGAAGAGGAGGCTGAGAGGGCCTCTGATCAGTGCTGATCAAGAGCTAAAGGGCCCATGGGGGCAAGAGGCTGGGGCCAGAATCTTGTCAGTGGTGCCCAGTGACAGGACAAGGGGCAACAGGCACAAACTGGAACCCAGAAAGTTCCATCTGAATATGAGAAACTTTACTCTGAGGGTGCCTGAGCCTGGAGCAGGCTGCCCAGAGAGGTTTTGGAGTCTCCTTCCCTGGAGAGATTCTAAACTTGCCTGGATGCCATCCTGGGCAGACTGCTCTGGGTGACCCTGCTGGAGCAGGGGTGTTGCATGAGTTGTGACCTGGGCAGATGCACGTGTGTGGCAGGGATGTGGCAGCTGGGGCTGATCGCAGGGATGAACTGGGCACAGAGCTGCAGTTTAAGATGAAATAAATGACATACCTCTGTCAAAATCAATTTCTCGTATTATCTTTTCTTCTCTACTGAGGTTCACTGTGAATTGGTTCATATTTTCATACCCATCCTCTATTTTTTCCATTTGAAATCCTTTAGATGCTTCATTAATTCTAAAACAGAGAGAATGGTTATTGGTATTTGGATTTGCAGACAAATTTGTGATTTGTAATTCATTATATAGATCAAGAGTCTCAAGTTTAAATACTTACTTTTGTAGCAATGTTTTGGCATTCTGTGAAAACAAAAAGGAAATAACTGACTTCTTAAATGGTTCCATTTTTTCAAACATTTTATGCATTGAGATCTAATTCTTACACTGGCTGCTTTTAAACACACCAGTATGGGTCTCAAACATGACAACCATAAGATAGACAAATGACATCAAATTTGGATGGCAATTAGCATACAGCTGAGTAAACCTTTTAGTTCATTGGAGACTTTTGAATTAAAATCTGAATAAGATGGGAAATACATACAATCTCTACAAAAATGAAATGGAAATATTTTTGCTCTTTTTTTTTTGGTGTGTTTGTGGTGAAAAGTAATTGTTTCATCACCACCTCCAGCCACAGTAACTCTATCTTTGGCTGCCCTCAGGGGCATACTTCTGGAGCCACACAGTTTTATTTTTCTGGAAAGAATATTGTACTCTTCAAAGAGTATGATTCTTGGATGAAAATAAGTTGAGGGTCTGGGGTTTTTATTTTGTAGAAAACACCCTTCCAGCCTTTAAAATAGAGGAATTGTAAACTTGCAGGACAGGATTTGTACACCAGTGAGTTCAGTGGACAGGCTGCTAATGGTTTGCTCATGAGCTCCCCTAAGTTTATACTAAGAAAACAGAAGAAAAAATAAAAGAAGAAACGGCATAAAAATGTGACAGAACATAAATATTTAATTCTTGGAAAATTAATCACTCTGTCAATAGGCAAATGAAACCTATAACTCACAGAAGTTCATATGCACATATATTATACTCGTGGAACAATAAAGATACTTTGGAAAGTGTTAAAATTCCTGATTTTTCTTTGGGGACCAGAAACTCATACACAGTATTGTATATTTTGGTGCAAACAGCAAACATGTTCTTGGTTTGGATACTATTCACAAGAAGACTGGCCATTTGTCTGTGCCGATGCAAGTGTTTGAAAAATGAGTTTATACAAACGTTCACTCAAAGATGACCTAACTCTGAATGTGCCTAAAATTGAGAAATGCCTAAATATTATTTTGATAAACCCATCATTCTCCTTCTATCTCTTTAGACTATACCTGCAAAAACACAGCCATTTCTGGTTCTTCCATGAACTGGATTCCCGATTCAACCAGCTTTGACACAGCTTCCAAGTGATCTGCGTACTTCTTTATCAGGGAGCGGACGTGTTCCAGTTTCTCCTCTTGGGTTCTAGTGATTATTTGTGTCATCTCATTTTTTCTTTCCTCCAGTACAGAATAGAGATAATCAAATTTTTCACACAGCTGCTCTTTCTGTCGTCTGCTGCATTCCTGTGAATCATTTTGTTTATGTTAAACATGTTATGTTCTTAAAAGAGTTTCTATTTTTACAGTTACTTGGAAGCATTTTCATCAAAGAAATTCCTCTTTCTGAACAGTCCAAAGGATTCTGAATGACCCCAGAGACTTTTATAATTTTCAAAGTCCAAGCTATCGGAACAAAAGTTTTAAAACTGTTCTCAAACTGAGTTTGAAGCCTCTGAAAGCCCCCAGACATGTTATTGTATAACTTGCCAGCCTGCTCAGAAACTGTGAGAGGTATTTATGATGTCTGTAGTGGTACATCAGAGTCTGCAGAAAAAGTAAAAACCCTGCCATATTAGCAGCTGGGTTCATTTGCACCAACAGAATGGGTTTTAAAGGAGCCATCAGCTCAGATCAGCTCCGGAGTATTTTATTTTTTACCAGAGAACTTGGAACTATCTTGGCTTGGCTTGATTTTCACATACACCCTCTTAGACTCTCTTTTGACAATAGGTGTCCATTATATTCCATTTTCTGTGCACTGAGTGGAGGTAGAGGTGCCACAAAGAAAATGGTGTATGACAAAAGCACAAAGACAAGAAGGAGGAATAAGGTTCCAATTTTACCTTCAGGCACTGATTTTCACATCATTTTTTGAGATACTTTTACTGCCCTTCCAACTAGACAACCCAGCATATTTCACTGAGTAAGGAGGATGGGTTTGACAACTGCTTCATTGAGTGCTCTCTAACAAGAAGACCCTGCATGGCATGGGAGGATTTATGGGGAGGAAATTGGAGACAGGTGATCTATAATGTCTGAGGTCTACCAAATAGAAATACTTGAGTCATCTGTGTGCCCCAGGGCACACAAATGGGCATAACCTGACTGTGGTTCTATCTGGTTGTGGATGGTGGTGATTATTTAAATCTCTTCCCTAGGACCTGAGGTGGAATCAATTCCTCATCCTCGTCCCTTGTGGCACAATGCTGAGATCCTGGCAGTGCAGGATTATTAACAGTCCCACAGCACTTGTGGAATTGATAGGAGTGATTATTCATAGCCCTTGGCCAGAGAGAATCCCTCTTTTTTCTTGACTTTCAGCCAGAGCTCTTTCCTATGAGTCGTGGCAGTCTGCTGTCTGCCATCCAAAGGAGAAAAGCCTTCTAAGACAGACGAGTGGCCAAAAATCACTACACTGAAGGGTGGAGAGTGAACAGATTCTGTTGCATTGACCCAAGTATCCACCTCTGCTTCCCAGTGAGGAAGACTAGGCTAAGCAGGCATTCCTCATTTAAAACTTGCGGGGAGCCAGGCTTGTCCTGCCCTTCTGGAGGTCCTTACCACCTCCCAGAAATTCCTGATTAGTGAATTACAGGGTGGGAATAAGGAACCTTTCAAACCAAGGGAGTCACAGTTCCTGGGTGTCATTTTGTTGTTCAGACCTCAAATCATCTTCCTCTCCTCTTTCATGCCTCTCCTAGCTTTCTTCCAGTGTTTCCTGTACTTCCAGTTGCTCCAGACTCCTCTTTGGTTTAGTCTACAGTGACCTCCTCTGAAATGTCACTCAGATCACTCATAAAACAACCTTAATTTCAAGGCGGGCTTCTGCTATTGTTGCTACTTGACACAAGACAAGTGTCAAGGAAAGAAAACCAAAAGTGGCAGGATGGGAGCAGAGATCCTTCCCTATCTCTAAGCTCTAACATATTACATTTCCTGACAGCAAATACTGTAGAGTTGCAAACCTCAAGAGGGAGAGTACGAAACAGTTTCCTAACAGGAAATGCTGAAATAGATCTGAAATACTCTCTTTCTGTATAATATGTTTCCATATGGAGTCTTGACCTGATGGAATGGCCCTAATCAGATTCTGAGTAATGAAAAACATTAACAACCACATGACTGTCCAGCACTAAGCATGAGTCTCACTGCTGCTTCTGAGGTATCTGTATTGACTGGCCTACACATTTGAAAAGAAACACTGTCATTTTTTCTTCATTATTTAACTCATATTGTTTACAGAGTGAAAAAGTACTTATTTATTACTGTTTTCCAGTATTTAGCATTTTATATCCACTTTTTTTTTCCATTTTATTTTCCATATAATATATAAATTTGGTCTACCTTCCAAACAGCCAAAAGTTATACAAGTATTAATAATTTTGTTTGTTTTTTTCTGGCTTTTAGGGTTGGATAGGAGCACTAGGTAAATATAGAAGTGTGGGCTAATGCTTACTCCAGCTTAAAAGGAAAATAATAATCTATTTTCTGCTAAAGCAGATATTTGTTGTTCTCTGCAAATTGTTAGAGAGAAGAGACAATCCTGGATTATAGATGTTATTTCCATGCGTGCACATTTCTCAGTTCCAGCTGTAGCTTTTCACCTTCAAGGACAAACTGATGTCAATTCAGACAAAGCTCTTGTGTGGTAGGAAATGTGATTTGCTTGAAATGTAATGTGGAAGTGCCAAGGCAAGCTCTAAGATCTATTTCCTGCAATCTTTGACTTTAAAGGTGAAAAGCCTGTTAAAACATCTGAAGGTAGAATGGCTGCACTGTCTTTGGGCTTCATGTTTAAAGGTTAGACTTCAAACCGAGTGGATGACTCTGAGGAAGGTAGTTCCAGAAACTTGTATTTATTAAGGTATTTTTAGCACAATGTTTTCTCCATACTTTAGATGAGATGTTTGAAGTTTTGTTTCTGGTTCATCTAGTTCAACTTAAATGGGTATAAGCTTCTGCTTTTGTATCATTCAAATTTCTGCAGTTAACTTACTTGAAAGGCTTGTTTCTGTCTGCAAAGTCCTGATAGGAACCAATTTCATCCTTGTGATGTGAAGACTTCCTGACTACAAAGTTCTGACTGCTGCTAACACGCCCTCTCGTTTACTTGGGCTAATGGTTTTATGTTCTCTGAATCAAACTTGTACATTTTCCATTCTTCCTTGCTCTGAGGAAATAGGAGCCTTGGGCAATTGTGTACGTAGATTGTGGAATCAATTTTTTGTACCAGTTAGAATCTATACATCTTTGTTTAACTTCTTTTTCTCAGCCATTTCTCTTTTGTGCTCCAGCTCTGAAGGGTCAATATAATTCTAATTGGGCTGAGAGGGATGGGACTCCTTCACTAGTTGCTTCATCAAACTCTGATCACAAAATCTATTCATATGAGCACCTTTCAGCCTATTGCTCTGTGATATTGAAATTGGTCAGAGCTGATATTTATATTTGCTTTGCTGGTGCAAACCTCTTGGAGGAGCTGAAAGCTGCTTCTGCTGTTGAATGACACAAAACTAATTCCAGCTCTGCCAGAGTAAGACCTTTACCAGAAAATCCAGAAAGAACCCAAACTCTTCCCTTCCACAAGCAACAAAACAAGAATCCTTAAAGGACAACTTAAGTGTATTAAAAAAACTACTTCTATGCAAAACACAAAGCAACCAAATACAGAGCTCACTGACACACTGTAGGTACCCTGTGGCTGAGACCCTCTGTTCACAGGACCAGTCAGGTGTTAGACTAACACTGGTCTTTTGCACCTCTAGAACCTGATCTTAGATGTTAAATAAGCTGGGAGTTGGTGTAATTTTGTTGGGTCTGCTTTTAACTTCAGTGATATCCTGTGCCACTAAGAACACTGAGCAAGATGTGCTGATGTGGATTATCCCTAATTCTTTGTCCTTGACCCTATGGCCAATGTCAGAGGCAGGGTGCTGAGCAGGATGTACACTTTGGTGGAGGCAGTACAGCCAATACCATACAAAGCCACTGGTAATGGTTTAGCAAAACAATGTGGAAATGCATTTGGGTAAAACGAGGTCTGTTAAAGAACAATTGTTCCCAGTGGTTTAAAAGGTGACTTTATACTGAAATAACTGCAATTAAAGAGGTGGTACCTACCTCAACTGTCTTGCAGGTCTCCTCCAGCTGGGTGACTATCCCTTGCACTCTGTCGTTGCTCCCCACCAGGACTGCAATGCCATCACTCAGCTCGGACTGGGCAGTAAGGGGAGAGCAAGCAGGAGGGGGTTAGACACTGTCCCACTTCAGGGTGGCACATTGAACAGTGGGGAGCAGGAGATGAAGGAACCATACCAGAGTATTAGCTCTTCTTCCCATCAGAACCAAGGGAAACTGGAGCTTCACCTGCCCACAAGTCACCCTACACAACCCTGACATTTGTTTCCTTTCCCAAAACACTATGAAAATATTGATATTTTGAAACTTTTCATGGAGAAGAAGCTGTGGTTTGGAAAGCAGGAAACACTTTGTTCTAGGAGGTTCTTCTAGATGCTTTCGTTTGAAGCGCTAGATTTCAACAGCCCCAAAATAATCCTTTTGGATTTTTTGAGAGAAAAGACTTCATCTCTTGAAGGGCTGGGTTTTTCAGTGCCGGGGTCTAGCTGGCACTGTGGTACTTCCCTGAGGAATGTAGCTCTTGGCCCTGGAGAGGAGAGGTGTCCCATAGACCTGGAAGGACCAGGTCACTACAGAGCCCCTGGCGCGAGGGCGGGGGCTGTGGTGAGAAGGGAAGGGAGAAAAGGGGGAGAAGGTGGAGGCTGAGCCATTGGCACAAGGGAAGTCTTGGGTGTGACAGCCCCTTTCCACAGGCACTTTGGGAAGGAAACCACTGCTTGCAAATCTCCAGCCAAAGGGAGTGACTGGGAGAATGGATTTAGTCCAAGAAACTTCTCCCCCTTCTCCCTCCTATTTTGATTGAAAAGGATGTTTGTAAGCACTTCCTAAAGCGACTTCTCATTTGTAGTTTCCACACACAAGCACCTGTGTGACAAAGTTGGAGGCTGGGATTGCAAACTTGGCCTCTCTGATTGCTTTCCCCACTGGGGCTCTCCAGAAAAATGAGCTGTTTATCTCAGGAGGATAGCCCAGTGAGTCAGGTTTTAAATTAATACTGTATTAAAAATAAACAAGTCTTTTACTGGTGACAGCAAGGGCAGAGGATATTAGGTACATCCTGTGCTGCCAACTATTGAATATTCCTTCATTCACTTGCAGGAGGATGTTTTTCACTCAACTTTTCTTAAAAATGGGATGCTTAAAGGCAAAAGTGCCTGATGGATAACAATTTGATTTGTAGTGATCTGTTCTCTTTCCAGTTCACGTGCTGGAAATCCTGCTTGTTTTTCTGATCTAAAAGCACTGAAAAAAAGAATTAGGAACCTCAAAAGGGAGATCCCCAGCTTCACATCAAACGGCTCTCTAGGTTTACTCACTATACTAATAAAAATTGGGACACTGTAATATCTGTCTGTGCAATCTCTCATAAGTTTATTTTCCTGTGTTTCTAACCAGCTCCTGCAGATGTGTGTGAGACTTTCACTCACACAGAGGAATGGCAAGGACACCTCCAGGTCCCTTGGAAACTTCCAGAAAGCCCATGGGAATACTTTCCTGTCAACGGTCCTGTTGGTTGCTGGGAGGACTGTGAGACACAAGAAGATCTTTACCTTCTGTTGCTGGTAAACGTTTGTGAGGGGAGCAACTTGACAGTCTTTGTGGGCACCAAAGACTTTGCACAAGGAGCAGGTGGGCATTTCACAGTTCAGACAGTAGATATTAATTCTCTCATCTTCGTGCTCTTCACACATTAGCTGGTCACATTTCCTTTCTGGTCTGCAAAAGAGGACACGTTTAAATTGAACTTGGTGCTTGTGAGTTTCTGATGACAACACAAGGTATTGGCATGAAATATGGTACATGTAGAATCATAGAATGTTTTGGGTTGGAAGGGACCTCTAAAGGTCACCTAGTCCAACCCCACTAAAAAAAGCAGGGACATCTCTAAGTAGGTCAGGTTGCTCAGGGCCCTATCAAGCCTGACCTTGAACGTCTCCAGGGATTTGTGTAGCAGTGTCCAAGGCTGATTTCAATATGCAGTGTAGGCTTAACCCTGCCACATGGGATAATTAAATAGACAGTGGTACAGCTTAATGTCCTGACACAACAAGATGTGATCATAGAATCACAGAATCATTTTGGTTGGAAGAGACCTTTAAGATCATCAAGTCCAACCATTAACCCAGCACTGCCAGGGCACCACTAACCCATGTCCCTCACACCACATCTCCACAGCCTGGAAACCCCTGCAGGGATGTGGTCTCCACCACTGCCATGTGCAGTCTGGGCCAGGCCTGGACAGCCCTTGGGGGAAAGAAAATATATGATGACAATATAGCAACATGATTTCAGATGGGGGTTGCAGATGGGAGAGTGACTGAATCCTCACTCATATTTTAAAATGTAAATAACCTCACTCAAGTTTTATCTCAAACTGCTCATGTACTTTAATTAGCATTCAACATCTGTCTGAAATATGAAACATGTAATTTCATTTGGGTTCTTCATGCAAAGTGTTGGTCACTTGGCCTTAATGCAGCACAGCTCTCATGCAGGGGACTAATCTGAGGCAAGAGTTGTAGGTATCGATGGACCTTTATGCTCTTAACTCTGCAGCTCTGCTGATGAGCTTTGTGAGTTGGGGTTGGGACTGTCAATATCAAACTCAGTCCTTATGGACTTTACACTAGGCCAGTAACCAAAATAAGGTCTCACACAAATTAATTCTAGCTGGGTAGCACATGTCTAGTTTGTACAACCTTTTAACAGTAAGTAACTAGGTTGTACCTGCCACCAAGGGCATGGGTTCCACCAGAAGCATTGCTCTCCTGTGCTAAGCCAGGGACTATAGCTCAGTCCTGATCTTCTCTTCACCAAAATGATTCAGCCATATACACACAAGTCAATTCCTTCTATGTTAGGAACTAACTCAGTTGTAGCTTCCTTTAAACAAGCCACTTAACTGATGTTCCTGGTGTAAATGAAAGCTCTAGTCCAGTCTGTGTGGGCAGGCTGATGCTTTCTGAGCCCATGCTTCAGGTGTAGGACCCTGAGCACCTCTGTGACAAGCACGTGAGTGTGAGGATGTGGTACCAGAGCACAGGGTCTGGAGATATATGGAGGGAGTGTGCCTAGGGGTTTAAGCCTCCAAAGGTCACCACTCCTACTGGGGCAACAGTAAATATTTCCAGGATAAACCATTATTGCCTTCTGCTACCATTTGGAAGGAGAACTATGACTTATCTGTAGCAAGTGGAGCAATGGCATCACAGAAATAGATATTTTCATCATGGAAATATCTCTTTTCATCATTAAGTAGAAAATATTTTCCCATATTATATTTTAATGGAATTACACGGAAACATCTTTTTAAAAGGCATTCTGCAGAGCTTTGTAGCAAGGAGGCAACCAGTAATTCTATTTAAGATTAAAAATATATGGGAAAATCATTATTTTGGGTGTTTTCTAACATAAATGATTCTATGATCCTATGACTTCTTGGTTTCAGTGGGGCAGCAGAGGGTAAAGCCACAGCATATTATGGGAGCCTGAGGAACGTTAGGTGGAGGGAGATAAGCAGTGGAGGCCTACAAAGTGTCCAATAGTTTAGATAAAGCTGCTATGCATTGCCCTGCTCTGTCACCCTGACAATAACTTCCACCCTAAGGACATACATGAAGGTTAAATGAGCGTCTTAAACAAAACAAACCTTTTGGGCAAATATCTACTCAGCAACTCATGTTCATATCTGCATTTTTTTTCTATTCTGTTTTATTCACCATGTGTTTTACTTTTGTGGAATTAAGAAAAATTCTACTCAATTTCTCACATTTCTGTTTAACTGAATTTTGTCCCAATTGTCCATGAACTCCATGGGCAAAGGAGACACGTTTCTTTAGTTTTTAAGTTAAACACAACCGTGAGCTGAAAAAACAACAAACAAACAAAAAAAAGCCCAAGAAAGACATAAGGCCACACACGTCCAGCTTATTTGGTCAGAACCAAAGTCCACCACCGTAGCTTTGCTGATTAATTTCCTCCAAGATTTCCCTGACTAAAATAATATTTGGGTATCAATTACACTCACAGAGGTAGCTGACCTTCCCTTGGCACGGAGAGCAAAGGGCAGCAGAAAGGACAATTCTGAGCCAACTTCGTGCTCTCCGACGCTTTGGAGCTCAAACCCATGCCCAGCTACAACCGTCCCTGACGGGATTTAAACAGCTGAAAATAGCCAAAGTCACCACTGGGCCCTGAAACATTCTCTGTGCTGGTGGCTGTCCTCTTCTGCTGGAGGAGGGTGGAAGGGCCCTGGGCCACCCCAGGCACTGGGCTCCAGTGGTTGTGTCCACCTGTTCCAGCAATATTGCCTCACTGTCCCAGTGAAACTCAGCTCCTTGTTGGGGCTGGATGGCAAGACTGAGAAGATGGGAAGGTTTCCTAACGCTGGATCCATTACACACCCAATGCAGGCAATTAACACTCAGGAGTAATCTTACTTTTTTAGCATCAGCCCACTCCTCTGCCCTCAGGTCCTGATTCCTGGGCACAGCCACACAGTACTGATACGTATTATTTCTGGCTATTCCTTCTCTTTTATGGAGTCCTAAATAGGAATGGATTTTTTATTTATTTTTTTTTAATTTAGTTTCAATTTGACATTATGATGCAGGGTATTTTAGAATCACAGAATTGTCTTGGCTGGATGAAGATTATCAATCCCAACTGTTGCCCCAGCACTGCCATGTCCCCACTAACCCGTGTCCCTCAGCACCACATCTCCGCAGCTTGGAAACCCCTCCAGGGATGGGGACTGCACCACTGCCCTGGGCAGCCTGTTCCAGAGCTTGACAGCTCTTCTGGGGAAGAAATTTTTCCTAATAGCCAACTTAAACCTCCCATGGCACAACCTGAGGCCATTTCTTCTTGTCCTGACACTTGTTCCTTGGGAGAAGAGACCAAACCCTGCCTGGCTCCAACCTCCTTTCAGGTGTGAAATTCAGTTTTCTTGTTTCCACCATGTTCCTCATGATTTTCTACGAAGATTTGAAATTTCTTTCCCTTCCTTAGCATGAGAACACACAGGTTAAAGACAAATAAGAATTTTCTGAACTCTTTTTAAAATAAATGGTGTGACCCTAGCTACTTTGTCCTTACTCAAGTGAGGAGCCATGCTAACCTCGGGGGCTTTGTTTGCATGGGTGCTTCTCATGGGAATATGCACAGCACAATCCTCTGCTATAAGGATAAATGAAACACCAATTTGGATATGGTTTCCTGTGCTCAGTGAGTTGACTTCACTGGCCAACAGACAGACAGACAGGCAGGCATGGCAGCACAGAATCCCCTTCCACTTTTCCAAGAGAGAAAACAATAAAATCAACCTCACGTGCACCAAATGGAAAGACCAAAGGCCACTGGTCTCCTGACCCATGTCTGCTTTTGTGGCAAACCTCCTCTGCAGGGCACACATTCACTGGTTTTTACCTTGTGGACTCCTGCTTGTAGATGTCAATGATGTTCTCCACCAGCAGGTTCCTCTGCAGCCCGTAGACGCCGTGCCGGTCGAGGACCACTTCATGCCTGCAGGAGGGACAGCGAAAGCGGCCTCCCGACGCCATGGTCGTGCCTCCCCTGGTTGGCAGGTAGGGGTTGGAGGCCTGCTCTTGCCAAACAGCACAAGAAGAGGTGAGTAAGGCCATGCAAAACCATGAAAACCTTTCAGAATCACGCAAACAAAAACACACTTGTAGGAAAACCTTGGTCAGTATGCCCAGGGAGAGGATGGCTCCCACAAGCAGCCCTAGGAGAGCACCCGGTGACTGCAGGGTGAGGGGCTGGTTCCTCATGTCCCCACAGTTAACAGGTGACACTTTCATCTGCTGTGAGCTCAGCCCTGGCCACCAGGGACACTCAACTGATATTTTAAATCACTCCCTCTCTCCGTCTTACTGACTGTTAGAAGTAATCAGTCAAAACTTGTTACAGAATTCTGCTTTTCCCTTCCCTTCAGCTGGTGCTGCCTGGGCAGCAGAGCTCTGCGGCTAGCGCTGGGTGAGGGGCTGGGCTTGGTGAGCTCAGAGGTCTCTGCCAGCCAGAACAACTCCACGGTTCTACGAAGCCTACCTGGAAAATGTCGCTGGCGCACTTCCGACAGAGGTTGTGCTGGCAGGGCAGGATGACCACCGGCTTGGTGAACATCTCCAGGCAGATGGGGCAAATCAGCTGTTTCTCCAGGTTATCCATGGTCTGCTGCTCTTTGGAGAAGGACTTGTAGCTCAGGGAGGTGCTCATCCCTCGCTTTTCCAGGGGCATACGCTCAGGATGAGGGCCTTGCGGAGGGCTTTCCGGGTTGTTTTCCCTTGAAATAAATCCAAGGCTGTGCTGCGATCAGAGGCTTCCTGGGCTGCTCTGGCCGGAGGACATTGTTTGAACGCGGGGCCGAGGGGAGCCAGGGCTGTTTTTAGCAGCGCCGCGTCACAAGATGCCATCCTGCCGTGCCCATATAAGCACGTGAGAGCAGGACGGGCTGGGACAGGTGACGGCTGCGGGGGGACGGAGGGGTGGCCGGCCCGGCCCTGGCTCTCCTCACTCACACATGCTGGCTTTCATCCCTCGAGGAGGAGGGCGAGCGATAAGGCAGCGTGATCCGCTCCCTGTCTTATCTGCCCGGCAGTGGGGGGCGGGGGCCGGCCCGGGCTGCCCGGGCACACG